ATGACATATGCATATAAATTCAAAATTCTTCTGCATGGGATAATTGTTTATTCTCTTGTATGCATTATATGTTACTTATGTAATCATCTATTTATATTTGTATGAATGCATGAACATTTATTAAACTTTGGTATATAATCCAACCAATCTAATAGTGCTTTATTTATAGTTTTATTTTTCCCAGAATTGACCATGAGATCTTTTCAGAGAGCTACTGTGCTCTTTCAACATATACTGATCAGTGAGGTTTATTGTTATTTTTTGCGCACTTTCTTGCTTCTATACTCTCTTTGAGGATTATTTTATATATTTGTGTTCCAGTCCTGTATCTAGCCATTTTTCAAGGACTTTTTAAATTGGGAAATGATATGGTTTTTTTTCTAAAAATATAATAAATTCTGGGTTCTAGGAATACTTGGTACTATTGGGTTTTCATTGATGTTAGGATCTCTTTGCTAAATAAAGCTAGGAAATACATGTGTGTATTAGCCCATGTATATGAACATAAGTATGAATACTTATATTCAGAATATTTGTATCTACTTTATGCCAAGATGTGTTCATACTGATGACTCCAATTATATTTTATTATCACTTGGACCAAGGTTACTTCCTTCCTTGCTTATCTGTAAACTCTCACTCCTATGATGAGGAACTTGATTCTAGATCTGCCATCCACTTACCTGAAGATTTAGTTTCAGTGTACATATATGACAATAATAAATTGCTAGCACATAGTCTCACTGGGAAACAATTTTATTAACTGGACAATAGCACTTGCATGCTATTCCCTGTCTTTAATTTTACACACCCAACTCATTTCCAAAATTTCTTAGATCAATCCTTTCTCATCTCATTCCTTTCAGTAGAGTTGTTTCATATATTTTGAACACAGTTACAATTCTTCAATCTCCTAAATATTTTGGTTGCATATGTTAGTTTGTTTTGTTCTCTAAAGTTCTAGAGGATTTTAATAAATGGACAATATCATGTATTCATCATTATAGTATCGTACCAATTAGTGTCACTTCCCTATGCTTCACTTATTCAGCTCCCATGTTCTTACCCCAAACTCTTGACACCAGTGTTCTTTACTCCATAACTTTGCCTTTCCAAGAATGTAACATAACTGGAAACATACAGGGTATTAAATTGGCCCTCTTCACTTACCACTACTCATTTAAGATTCTGTTATGTCATTTTGTGGCTTCAAAGCTCATTTCTCTGTGGGAAAAAACCCTTAATTTTATAGATACACAGCACCTTGTTTATCCACTCACCAACTGGAAGGTATCTTAGTTCCTACCAGTTTTGAGCTATTATGAATAAAGCAGCAATAAATTTAAGATACATGTTAGAGTACGGACCAACATTTAGATCAGGATGCTATCCAGGAATGGAATTGCTAGATCAGCCATAAGATCATCCTTAGCTTTATAAGAAAACTGAAGACTTTCTTGAAAAGATATGGGTATTCTGCATTTTACCAGTAATGAAAGAAAATTTCTCCTGCTTTATATCTTCACCAGCATATAGGATTGTTAGGATATTTTAACTTCTCAAATAGATGTGCAGTATTCTATTGTTTTAATTTCCAGTCCCCTAATTATAAATGATACTGAGTTTTATTTATTCTATTCTTATTTGTCATCTGTACATCTTTGGTGAGGTGTCCATTCAGGTATCTACTCCTTTGTAAAATTGGCTTAATTTTTATTGTTGTGTTACAAGAGTTCTACATTATTTTTAGATAGTAGTCCTAAATATGATGTGTGTTTTGTAAAGATGTATCAAAGTCAGTAAATTGTCTTTCCAGCTTCTTAACACTGCCTTTTTCAGATAAAATGTTTTTGTTTTTTAAAAGCCCCACTTAACAGTTTTATTCTTTCATGGATTATGTTTTTTTTTTAAATATTTTATCTAATAAACCTCATACTTCACAATGAGATAAAACTTCATATTCAGGAGGTGGCTATAGTAATAATATTTATATGAAATAATAGTGACAAGTGTTGGAAATAATGTGGAGAATCTGGAGTGCTCATACATAGCCAGTGAGGGGGTGAAGTGGTGCAGCCACTGTGGAAATATCATTCCTTAAAAATCCAAAGATAGATTTACATTTAACTTAAAACAATTGAAAATAAATACTCAAGTTCTTGTATATGAATGTTCATAGTAGTAATAATTATTAAATCCATTAACAGATAAATGGTTGAGCAAAATGTGGTATTTGCATGCAATGGAATATCTTCAGTAATGAAAAGGAATGGGGTACTAAATCATACATGCTACAATATGAATGATCTTTTAAAACAAAATGCTAGATTTTTCTACTACAAGTTTAATAGTTTAGGTTTATTTTTTATTTAGTGACTTTTCAACCAAAAGATATTTTTATGTAACGAATTTTCATTTTATGTATGGCTTTTCAGGCTATATTTTTGTTATCTGATAATAATAATGACTAGAAAAATTCAAAAACCCTCAATACAATTGAAATTTCTAAAAATGTATTTGTACATATTAACTATCTTTATTGTCCGATTTATATTTATATTAAAAATAACATTTATTGATTATTTTTTCTTTTAAAAAGTGATCCTATTCTGGATATGATGACATATAGCTGTAGTCTCAGTTACCGTGCAAGCTGAGGCAGAAGGAATAGAAGTTCAAGTCCAGCCTGGCTACTTGGCTACTTGGCCTCACGATAAAAGGTAAAAAGACTAGCGATGCCACTTAGTGCAAGGTCCTGGATAAAATCCCCTATCCTTGGGGGAGGAGCACCTTATGGCATAATGCATGAAGTAAAAAGAATTTTGTTAATATATGATACTCATTAAAATATTAAAATATTAAAAATTAAAATTAAAATATACAGAAAGAGTTCACTTTATCATAACAAAAAGTGAAATAAGTGAGTATATATTGATTTTTTTAAAGATACATAATTTTTGTGTCTATTCATTGAATCTATATCAGAAGCACACAAAATTTAAATTCTAATAAATTCAAAAGATAATCATGGAAAAAGTTATTTTATGAAAGACAAACCAATTCAAAATATGTTCTCCTTAGCTTTGTTGTTGTAATGTATTCATATCAGTACCTACATTTTCTTTACACTGAGGCCTGGGAACTTATTGTTGGGATACCTCAGTATTCTGATTATGGGACTAAGGAGCTACTGTGAATTAGTCTTTATATTTATTTTCTTTTTGTCATTCCAGAAGATTATTTTTCAACTTTAATATAAAGATGTGAAGCACCTAAAATTCTGAACTGTTACCATTCAGATACATAACTAAGTTTATTAATGTAGAAAATAAATGAATGCAAATACAAGTGACTGAAAAAAGAACATGGAGACATTAGCCATACCTGCAGAGGCCCTTCATGCAGTCAGGCTTGTACTGGTGATTCCTCAGAAGAATGTGTTCTCCACTTAATATTTTATGTAATATTTTGAATGTGAGGAAATTTAATATATGCAATTCAGTGTGTATCAAATATTCAAAGGCCATGGAGATTAACTTTGTTAATTAAAATAAGTTTTAATAATAATGGAAGAAAAAGATACAGTGTTCCAAAGGTTGGGCTTCCATCATGTATAGAGAAGAAAATGTATCTAGGAGAATGAGGATCATTTTACTATGAATGACTATATTAGTTTCAACAATGGAAGTAATTACATTCCATATATATCTGAAGTCCCTAGAAATAAATATCTTAGTATTTCTTAATGTTTTTTCAGACTTATTTTCTCTATAAGGTTTCTTTATTACAGAGTACTTATTCTGGCATGTTCATAAATTATGACCCATGAGAAGCCTCAGTATTATTTGCTGCTTCTCAAAATTCTGTCTTTCGTTCACTTTCTATGACTACCTTCTCATTTGAGCCACTAGGTCATTCCAAACCTGGCAGACAGGTTTTCTTACAAAAAGATCTGATTTGTTAATATGCAGTATGTTTAGAAGCCATCACCCCAGATCTGAATGAAACAGGATGTTTTCTTCCTGTTACGCCCATATAATTCCCTCCCATAATCACTCAAATTGGAAGCTCATGATAGGGAATTAAAATGTGATCAAGTCCATAACATTCAAATCCTATTCTGAACAACATTTGCCTTTTTCTCTAATGTATGCCTATCCTTGGTTCAGACTCTCATAAGCACAGCTTTTGAGATTTGAGAAAGAATTAACACTACTCCCTGCATCCTGATTTTACAGCGATACAAACACTGGGAGACACTTTTTTCTTTCTTTCTTTCTTTCTTTCTTTCTTTCTTTCTTTCTTTCTTTCTTTCTTTCTTTCTCACTCTCTCTCTTTCTTTCTTTCTCTCTCCCCCACTCCCTCTCTCCTTTCTTCCTTCCCCTTCCTGCCTTCCTTCCTTCCTTCCTTTCAGCTTACATTTCTAGGCAAATAGATTTCTTTATAGTGAAATTCACAATTACATTTACCCATCAAATTGCATGTGCTTCTTGAGGAAGAACTAATTCCAACAGAAAGAGGCAAAGGTAGAGCAATACCTGGACACTTTCTTATGCCAAGATAAAAAAAATATATATATGAGATTTATTATGCTAATGTGTTCTCTCCACATGACTGAAACATGCCAAGCAGGAATGCTCTCACCACAACATTTTATCAATGCCAAAACTGGACTGACTTGGTTGCCTCCGATGTACTGACTTTAATTCAGGCACCCAAACTTTCTCACACAGATCTAGGGTCTTAGGCCTAACAAAACAGAAATGCAGACTAACATCTCCATGGCAGCACAGGGAAAAGTGCAAAGAATCAAGAAAAGGCCTAGACACTTAAGAAGTGGCTGTTAGTTCCCATCTGGATGGATTAATCAATGCAAAGCCTGGCTTTACTGAACAAGTGAGATTGAGAAGAACCTATACTTTAAATACAGGTAAAGTAATTTAATTTTAAATGGGCCACTTCTGTTGTAGAGTTAATTGAAAATCCTGACCACATCTCACCTTTGACTTGGGTTAGCAGTAATCAATCAGACGCATCATACACTTAGAAAAGGAAGAGGTAGAGAATCTGCAACTCAGGCGTCTAGGAGGCGGTAATGGCTCCTGCTGGCTGCTTCCGACACAGCTGCGCATGCTCTGGCAGGCATTTTGAATCTGCGCCCTCAAGCTGGGCGGTTTCTTCGTGCTTGGCTCTAGATGCTGGCATGTCTGCGCATAAATTGTCAGTGTTATCGCAGCTATAATAGGCCCTAGTGCTAACATTAAGCCAGCAGATGCAGTGCCTGCCTGGCCAAACACACTTCCTGGGCCCCCAAGCTCGTACAGCTGCAACCAGTGTGTGCCATTCGCAGTGACAATGTGTAAATCTTCCTGCCTTACACGCAGCACTGTCACAGCAGACCCAAGGTAAACATTTGCTATTTCAATTAGTGACTGTGCAAATCTCCACAAATATGCTGTTCTTCCCCCTGGAGACTCACATATTTAAAAGTCAAAGTACTATTCATTTTAAAAGTGATTAATTTGTAACTAATTTAGCAGTATGAGAACTTTTCTTCTGGATTACTTTCTTCGCTTATAAAATTGTATTTGTAAAGTAAAAATTATTTCAGGATTAAAACTGCTGTTATATATATTTCTAGTACATATAGATATGTGTTGACTTATCGTCCCAGGTGGCAAAGTTTGTGGGTATTTTTATCTTTTTGATCCTTAAAATTGACTCATAACTGTTCAGATCATTCCTTGAATAACACCACAAAAATTAAAAATAGCTAAAATATGATAATTATCATAAATGCATAATTTATTTTATGATAAGCATAAATACTATACCATGGCAGAGTATAAGATTTTGATAAGAGAGGCAATAAGCTAAACATTATGTTGATAACTAATTTATTTCTAGAATTTATTAATGTAAACTGGCATTAAGATGACTGAAAAGAAGTTTTACTGGTCTTAAAAATGACTGAAAAAGAATATTACTGATCTGAAGAAGTAAATCTTTATATATTTAAAAATTATTAGCACAGATATATTTTATATATTCATTTAATAGTATGGAGATCTATTTCAGTGCATCTTTCTAAAAAAATTAAGGCCTGTACACTATGCATTTTTACTCTATTCTGTCCAGGGACTATGAAGGTAAACAAAATATATAACAGCAATCTTACCTGCTGGAATTTATTTTCAGACTTATAGCCTGCAATGATATTAATTAACTTTGAAATTCAGAGAATATCACTTCTCTAAATATGACTATAGTTTAGCTATAGCTCTCTAAATAAGTAGAGATTTATTTCTTGATTAACTTTCTATGGTTTTGACTTAAGGTACCGCAGAACACTGCAACTAAGATGTCACTGAAAATTACATCCTTTTAAAGTATGACCCAGGATAGGGCTTCTGATTCTGTGCTCACTCACATTACTGTTGACTGGAGGGGTCAAGTTCTCCAACATGGGCCATGATAGCTGGCTTTCTCCAGCTTATAGGATCTTAGGCATAAACTGTAACTATTGTGTTATTTATTCATGAGAAAAGGAAAAAAATGGAAACAAAGTTTTTGTAAATAGGGAGGATTGGAGGTGTTGAAGGGTGGGCAGGGGAATGGGGAAAAAATAAGAACCAAGATATAGCGTGTAAAGGTACAAATTCCCAATGATGAATGTCTTTACATTGTATACCTAAAATGTACCAATAAACTTAATGAATTAAAAAAAAAGTAAGTCACTAACTTCTGCCTACACTCAAAGAGAGGGGACTGTTTAAGGGTGTGAATATCTGAAGGCAAGGGTCCCTGGGTTCCATCTTGGAAACTTACTAACACATGCACCTAATATAGTAAAAGATATTTAAGTATTATGCTAGATAGTTTATGATAGTAATAAGCAAAGATGGAAAATGCTATTCTGGAAGTCAAATCTATCTCAAGAACTGTATAATTATGGCTTTTATACTAAGAATTTTTTTCCATTGTTAAAGAGTTAAAAAAAGAATAGAGACAAAGACTGTGTGACAACAAGCACATGAGGCTGGCAAAAGTGAAAAGAATTACTATCTGGTCCTACACAGACAGAAAAGATTTGCTGATCTAGTAGTCAGGAACAGTATCCAGGCAAAGGCAGAATCATCACAAATATCTGAAATACTTAACGAAATATAAATGTGTTAATTATTTCATCCCAAGTCTACATTTTTGTTTTCATTTATATAATTCAGCAACAAACTGCAGTTAATATTGTTGTGAGGATATTGCTGTTCTTTTTAATTCTGTCATATCAACTCACATTAGCACACTGTTGTCAAGTCACAAATGAAACCATTCTCTTTCCAGGAAGCATATGGTACTCAATTCACATAAAATCTCATATCTTCAGCCAAGTTATCCCAATAGTAGAAGAATCCCAAATGAACCATAATACTGATCTCAGTGTTTCAGAATTCCTTATATACAGCTTAATGTCACTCAGCCTTGTCTTAACATGCATTGGTCTCACTTAGGGACTGCTGTGTTCAAAGTCTTATTTTGTTCATTTCTCAGAATGACTGTTAACACTCTGGATCAGTGTCACAGACAGCAATTCTTTACTCCAAAGATGCTTACTCATCCTTGCCCCAAAGATCCCACTAGTTGAACTATTTCTCCATTGTACACGAGCATCAAGCCATTCAGCAAACACTTGCTAAAAACACAATGTTAAATACGTCATTCTATATACTGGGTGGGTTATAAAGAAATAAAAGGCCATCACAGTGGCAATCATAGGCAAATTGGGGAGCAAGCTTTTGCAAAAGTCAAGTCAGCTAACAACCCAGGCAGTGTGTGCAGTCTTAAGTACTACAGAAATAGAAGAGGGAGCAAACTTATCCTGTCAGGCCTCTTACATTTCAAAAGTAGGTCACTGTGTGATAGTTGACCTTCCGATAATGTTGGAACTTCCTTATTAAAATCCATGAAGACTGGTTTATATTTTTGACAAGTGGGGGATGGAAACTCAATATTAGATTTTATCTTTTTCATCCTTACTATCTTCTTCAGTACAGGGATCAGAATGACTAAAAATTTAACCAACCCAAAGCTATTTTTAGCAAGGGTCTTGTAATTATATTAATCATAAGAATTAAAAATATAGACCACTGCTGCGTTATCATGAATATTTACATATTTTCGTCATCATTAAGCAGCTGTCTAAAGTAATGTAAGTGAATTGGTGAGAAATTAAACATATAGTTGTTGCAGATGGTATGCATGAAATAATGAAAGAATATTAGACATAATTAAAGTAGTGATTGTTTAAAAATGAATTCATGTATCTGTGTTCAATTCCACCAAAAAAGTATACACACTTCAGGAAAAGAGGGAGTATGATATTTTTTAAACAGATGGTGTTACCCTGATATGGCGGACCCTAGAGGATGTTATGTATAGCAGAAAAACCACTACACTGCGAGCCCTTAGAGAAGAAATTTAAGATACATGTACAGCAATCTTCATGACCAAGGTTACCCACACAGCAGTTCACCCTACTAATAAATGTCTGGAAGCTAATGGCTAACAATTTGACCTCCTCTTGTAAGTGCAGAGTCCAAAGGTAACTTGTATTAATCTCATGATGTCAATAAATTTAGTATTAAAGTATTCATATAAGTTTTTCTTCGCCTAAAATGGGTATACATTTTTTGGCAGAATATATGTATATATATTGAACTGACATAAATATGCAAGTGGGGATCAAAATGTAGTAAATATGATGTAATGAATATGATTTGGAATAATGAGTCTTCTAGTTCTTTCCCAAAGCCAAGGTGACTATGAAGGGTAAAGATTTTTAAATTAATTCAAGACCCTGAGGCAGCCATAACAGCACAGCTAAAGACAGAAGAGAGGACTTCCGGACTCATCCAGAAAGTGGCAAGAAAGGTGGGATAAGTATGTTCAAAGTGAGAGAGTATTTTGAGGGCTATTAATGGGAATGTGTCTTTTGTTGCAATATATTTTTTAAAAATTAAACATTCACAGAACTTTTGATCACTTCTCATATATGCATGTTTGAAGCCTGCCTGGAATTTTTATGTGTATAAATACTGAAAATTCTTGTCAAAATGGTAGGTTTGTTTGTGTTCTTGTTGGGTGAAAATCTAATATCATCTTATTTCAGTCAGGAAGAATTTTCCAAAAAGAATACTGAAGAGCTAAAAGCATGATTAAGGATTCAGTTGTAAAAGATCCTAGACAATTTGAAAATGTCAGGACACACATTATTCTGTTTATATTAAACAACCTGTCAGCCCAGTGCATTTGTGAAAAAATAACATTGGGTGCTTGTTTGCTATTTCCTGTGCCTTTGCATTTAACTCAAATGCACTTCCTCTCTATATATATCTGTATAGATATGTAGATATAGTCTTTAAAACCATTCTGTACCCTTCAATTATATGATGCCCTTATTAATCTTTAAATTAACAAAGATAGTGATAGCAATGTAACTCAAAGGATAGTCAAAGAGAGTGTAAGGTATGAAAAAAAAGTACTTTTTAAAAAAACCACAAAAGAAAGCTCATATAAAGAGAAAATAACCTTCCTCTGACATGCTATGTCTAGTTATTGACAGTGTGAAAGTACACATTAGTTGACTTCAAAATACCTAATCAGATTCACTTTATGCACTCATATAGTTTAAGTTACCTTGTTTTAACTGTATTCTTGGTTGCGTATTAGTTAATCAATTGATTGCAATGTCTTGAGAGTTTTACTCTAATTAAGACTTTGCACTAGGTAGATACTATGGAAGGAAAATAAAAAGCTTTTGAAGATGTGGTTCCTGCATTTGTCCAACTGCGTCAGTGGACAATAGCAGAGACTTGAAAGAAACTAAATGTAAACCAAGATTCCTAGCCAGTACATAAAGGTGGGAAGCGTTAGACCTGAGGTATCCCCAAGGAATAAAACTAAAATGCCTGGGTGTGTATGATCAACAACTGTATATTCAGGACTATTTGTCAGTCATACACCAAGGCAGGGCCATCTATTTACCTTATGAATAGTGGCTATTCTAAGCTATCATCTAGGTAAAAATAATCCCTGGGGAAGTTGGCAAAATATAACTGAAAAACTTTTAAGAATATAGTTGTATTTATAAAACAGTAAGGGAAACACACAGAGACCGAAACAAAACAAGGAGACGGAAATAAAAATCAGAATGATTATTCTGATTTAAAAGCTGGAATTGCTACTGTTGCCAATTCCTGGAATGGGAGAACAGAGAGTCCTGAATTTATTGTCTGCCATAAATCAAGCATCTGATACTTTGACCTGGATTAAGAAAAGCTGAATTGCAGGTCATATGCAAAGAGTGCTGTATCAGTCACATTCCCATAGCTGCTGGAATAAAATCTAAAAGAATTTAAAAGAAGAGAGGCTTATTTTGGCTCACGGATTCAGAGGGTTAAGTCCATGCATAAGCCATGATTCCAAAACAGAAATGGCATGGTAGAAAGCCAAGGTAGAGGAAAACTCCTTATATAATGGAGGCCAGGAAACAGAGAGAAGGGAGGAGGAGGGGACAAGTATATATCCTTCTAGGTCACACCCTCAGTGACCTATCTCCAACCAAGCCCCATCAGTCAACAGCACACTCAGGTATGAACACATCAATGGGTTAATCCGCTGATGAGTACTGCACCACCATGCACAAATCACATTCTAAAAGCCCTACCTCTGAACACACGAGACTTAGGAACAGTTTAAATCTAAAAAAATAACAAAAGGTAAAACCATGGAAGGTGTATACTCCAAAGGGGAAGCGAGGGGTGTTTAAAAACAAAGATTTTTGGGATATTCTTTTTTTTACTGGGGAAAGATTTCATATGTATGACTTTGTATGGAAAAACTAGTCTCCTGTAATGATTATATCTGTAGACCAACCCTCAGACACATCTTGAGAATAAAGTTATGCCATGTATTATATTTCAAGCTAAAATATAAAACAAAAATAATAATAAATTGTTAGTAGTCTGGGAACTTTAAGAGAAGTAAAACAATGCCTTTCCAGAAGAATGAATTCTCAAACAAGACTGCAAATTCTGCTATGTGGAGTAATTTCACTGCAAAAGATAGCAATATTAGAATTATAATCTATGAAATAGAACTAGGGGTGTAGCTCAGTGGTAGAGCACTTGCCTAACATGAGGAAGGCCCTGGGTTTTATTCCCAGCCTTACAAAGGAGTATGAAATAATTATACTACTATCATTTAAGAAAAAAACAGAAACAATTCGGTGTTTACACGTGTGTCCTCTAGTGTGAGAAACTGAAAATGTGAATAAGTATTAAAATGATTAAAATAAGTAATTGATAATTTGAAATAGGAAGAAAAGGTCTAAAGAGGTGGGGAAGTAGGAGGGGAAGGGGAAAGAAGGGGAAGGAAAAATTATGAGAAAAAAAAAATGGAAACAAAGTCTATGTAAATAGGGAAGGGTGGAAGGGGTGAAGGGCAGACAGGTAATGAGGAAAAAAATAAGAACCAAGATACATCGTGTACAGGACAAACACCCAATGATAAAAGTAAATGTCGTACAACTAAAATGTACCAATAAAGGAATTTAAGCAAAAAAAAAAAAAAAAGTTATGTTTGGAAATCTAAGAAACAGCTACAAATAAATTGTAGATAAAATTTTAAAAGAACAGTTTTGAAACAAAATACTGGGCTGAAGGTGTCGCTCATTGCTAAGAGCACTCACCAAGCATGCTCAAGGCCTTGAGTTCAATCCTCAGGAAAAATAAAAAGAAAAGAAAAGCAGAAATAATTAAAACACTAAGAACTATACAAAATGAATATATTATCTAAAAAAACTAATAATTTGAAGCTAATTTCACAAATAATGGTAAGTTTACCATCAAGTATTTCTATTACAGAAAAGCCTAAAAATTAACTTAAAATAGAAAATGAGCAACAAAAAATAAAGTAATAAATCCAAAAGTCAACAGAAAGGAGGAATAATAAAGATAAAAGCCTAAGGTAATGGAAGAGTAATGTTCACAATAATATCAATAATAATACCATTTATGAAGCCCCTACCATCTGCCAGGTGCTGTATTCACATGAATTAACTAATTAATATAGATCACAAATCATAAGGTACAATTATAAATCCAGTATAAAGTTAGGAAAATAAAACTAGAAGAAAGTTAGTGATTGCTTACTCATTAAAAACTTAGTAAACTGATACTGATGTTAAGAAAAATAGATAAATATTAAGATAAAAATGGAGGGTATAACTAGATGTTAGCCATGAAATGTACAGACAGAAAAATAATTATACAGAAATGCACAGGCATGAAAATTATATGTATACTTAGAACAATGTTATACCAATAAATTGGAAAACTAAAATAGAAGATTAAAACTAAGCTGGGTGTGGTGGTGCATGCTTGTAATCCCTGCACTGTGGCAGGCTGAAGCAGAGTTACAAGATCAAGGTCATCCTGTTTATTTTAGTGAGACCTTACCTCAAAATAAATAACATGTACAAGAAGATCCTGAGTCCTAGACCATGTACTGCAAAAAAAATATAGATTATTGTGGAACTAATGCTCAAAAAACTAACTCAAAAGTTAGATAAAAATCTAAATAAATTAGTTCTTAAAAATACAACCACAAATCACTAATTCAAGCCTGTATGAGTTTACAAATATATGCCAAACTTTCCTAGAAAATACAGTTAAAAACTTAGCTAAATATTTTTAGAGAATAACAAAAGAGAAGACACTCAGTTAAAATTCACATAACCTTGGTATTGAAACCAAATTAGGGCAGTACAAAACTAATACCACTGACATTAACACTTAGAAACATGGATGTGATCATTCTAAACATGATACAGAATTTACAACATAAAGTTCCTGTATATTTTAAGAGTCAGAATAATGGTATGTTAAAAAGCAACAATATAACTCATTAACAATCAATTTTGCAAAATGTATTAATGTAATTAACATATTATTACATGAAGAGCAATAAATCATCTGGTGATCATAGCAGAAACAGTAACAGCTCAACAGACTTTCATGTTATAAACATCTAGCAAACTGATAATAGAAAGGCACATGCTTAACAGGGATTTCCTATCACAACCAGAAACAACCGTTGAAATAAATGGTAAAATACTTAAAGTATTTTGTGTTAATTAAAGAAGGGTAAAAATATATGCTTTACCTATTTATCAAGTTAAATATGTTTAAGAAATACAAATTATAGACATTTAAAAATATATATTTTTCATGTCTTAGGAAAGATTATTTAGGGCTCATTATGTTTTATAAGCTATACCATACTATAATTGGGTACTTAAAATATATTTTTCTTAATGATATATTTGCTGCATACATCCAAATTAATAAATCACATTATTTTATAATATGGTTTTGTTATACATTGTGTGTAGTATTACTGTATGGCATTTTATAGAAAACCACATTAAATCATTCAGACTCATTGTTAGAATTAACAAAAATGTTTAGTTAGATGACTAATGGCTATCAGACCAATAACAAGTAAAGCATATGTATTTATATTGCAACAAAAATTATAAAATATAAAATTATAAGATATTGTTTATGCAACAATAAAAATACTAGAAAAATTGGGTTGGGAATTTTACTGGAAAAAATAATCAGTATAATAAACTGTGAATATTTTTAATAAAATTAATACAGTTCTAAATATGCTACAATTTGCTGAACAAAATGTAAATAGTACTTTTTGTATTTTTGCAACAAGACAGCACAGATAACCAAGGTCATAATATTAAAACAATAACAATATAAAATAATTTTCTTCACTAAGGCATGCTAAAAATATGAAGAGACAAGTTGTAACTCTAGGGTAAAATTCTTATGACACATATGATTAACAGCAAATGC